GTTTTCTTAATTATTCTTGAAAATTTTGATTAAATCTGTTGAAAAATCGATTTTTAGCGATTTTTATAAACATGATAGGTAAAAATTGTAATTTTCAAAACATGGAAAATTTACCTCAACTTCAAAAAGTAGTATCTCAAGAACTAAAAGATATTTTTCAAATCGGTCTTTTTTATTCGAAAGATCATAGTTTTCTTAATCATTCTTGAAAATTTTGATTAGATTGGCAGAAAAATCGATTTTTAGCGATTTTTATAAACACGATAAGTAAAAATTGTAATTTTTAAAACATCAAGAATTTATCACAACTTAAAAAATTAATATCTCAAGAACTAAAAGATATTTTTAAAATCGGTCTTTTTCATTCGAAAGATCATAGTTTTCTTAATTATTTTTGATTTTTACAAAAACAATCAAAATGACTGTGTGGTTATTATTAAATAAAAAAATACAATTTGGTGGGAAGAAAGTCAATATTTATTTAATATTTTTTAATATTAAGGACACTCTGAAGGCCAATAACACACTCCTTGATACCACCGCATTCCTTCCGGACAATAACACCCCTCTTCGCAATCGAAACGTTCCCGATTATTTCTTGGGGATTCCCCACAAATTAATTGTTTATGATTCGGGGCGCACGTCATGTATTGGAATACATTTTGGCACGTAATCTCTAAATAAAAAATTAATTAACAAAACAAAAATATTTTTTGTCTATCAATGTACCGCATAATCCAGGACTTCTCCAATTAATAAGATTATTGTTCTTCGTTTGGCAACTTCTTACCATCGAATCCAACATATCACACATACATTCCTCGCGAATTGGATTTGAGCATGCGCAATATTCCGATCTGCATATGTTTCGGTACGATTCTTCAAAGTCCTTCATTAAAAAATAATAATAATAATAAAATCATTAAAAAAAATTATTTACCGCGCATCCAGCAAATTCTGGCCTTTGGAAAAGATTATGGCAAAAAATTTCCGAGTTATGGATTAATATTGGGGATGTTCCACAATGGTTCAAAAAATTATTTGAGAGGCATCCATCTAAAAATTGAATTTTAATAAAAATTGGAATTAAAAAATGAATCAAGTCTTACTTAAACCCCAACTGTTGGCCCATGCAAGAGAAGAGGTAGTGCTTGAACCATCAGACATAGTCAATTCATTGTAGTTACAACCATCGTTGTTTCCACAAAGACCATTAGTCGAATCGAAATTATTTTTGTTATTTTGAATTATCTCAAGTGTCTAAAAAACAAAATTAAACATAAAATCATAAACATTATATGATCGTTTCGTACATTTCCGTTGTATCTTATCTTCATTTTGAATGGTTGTAACGCAAGAATCGCCATACTTCCAGGTTGAGAAATTTTAATTCCACTATCAGTCGTTGGTATTTGATAAGGAAATCCATTTATTGTAAACGAAATAGATCCATAATTATCGACAGAAACCATATAGGTTTTTGAATGATAAATTATTTCAAGTGCGTTTGGATTTCTCAAGTAATTAATGATCAAACCTTTCGCTGGAATTGAAACTAACGTGTAACTACAAGTTGAGGAAAAGCTGTAGACTTTTCCATCGAAAGTTTTTATGTGAGTTGAGTCGTAAATCACACAATCAGAAATTAGCTAAGACACAAAAAGATTAATTTCAATATTTAAATTGTTAAAAAAAAATACTTACATCTCTTGTGCATTGTGAAGAAACTTTTGGGATCAAAATGTTGATGAGAATTAATAAGAAAAATGTTAAAATCTCCATTATAAAAGGTAATAACAATTTTTATGTAACTCTACCTTTTTATACTTCCTAATTTTTTATTGGACTATTGTTGATGCATTTACTCGCATAAAACGCTTAAAATATGATGTAAGTGTTATAAATTATAACATAAATTAATTGCAACAAACATTTATTTTTTATATTATTTCAATTTGACACTTTAAGATCTCACAAGAATAGAAAAAGCATTCCTAACAACAATTGCAACAGAAACTTTCTAGTACTAGGTCTAGTGTGGTCTAGTGTTANAACTACAAGTTGAGGAAAAGCTGTAGACTTTTCCATCGAAAGTTTTTATGTGAGTTGAGTCGTAAATCACACAATCAGAAATTAACTAAGACACAAAAAGATTAATTTCGACTTTTAAATTGTTAAAAAAAAATACTTACATCTCTTGTGCATTGTGGAGAAACTTTTGGGATCAAATTGTTGATGAGAATTAATAAGAAAAATGTTAACATTTCCATTATAAAAGGTAATAACAATTTTTATGTAACTCTACCTTTTTATACTTCCTAATTTTTTATTGGACTATTGTTGATGCATTTACTCGCATAAAACGCTTAAAATATGATGTAAGTGTTATAAATTATAACATAAATTAATTGCAACAAACATTTATTTTTTATATTATTTCAATTTGACACTTTAAGATCTCACAAGAATAGAAAAAGCATTCCTAACAACAATTGCAACAGAAACTTTCTAGTACTAGGTCTAGTGTGGTCTAGTGTTAGTTCTAGTTTTAATTGTTATGCAGCGTTAGACCAAGAACTAGAATCATTTGGGTTTAGCCGCAAGTCTCTAAAGACGGCTAAACCCAAATGTTTCTAGTTCTTGGTTCAATGTTAGTTCTAGTGACAGTGCAAGTGTAAAACTAGAACTAACACTATACCTAGAACTAGAATCATTTGGGTTTAGCCGTCTTTAGAGACGTGTGGCTAAACCCAAATGATTCTAGTTCTAGGTATAGTGTTAGTTCTACATAGTAACAGTGCTAGTGTAAAACTAGAACTAATACTATACCTGGAACTAGAATCATTCGGGTTTAGCCGTCATTAGAGACGTGGGGCTAAACCCAAATGATTCTAGTTCTAGATATAGTGTTAGTTTTACATAGTAGCAGTGCTGGTGTAAAACTAGAACTAACAGTTTTTTAAAGCTAAAAGTGTTGGTTCTACTTTTAATTCAATAAAAATATATTACAACCTAGCAGTGAATAACAACTAAAACTAGAACCAACACTTTTAACTTTTTTTTTAATCAATTTCGTGTTCTAGCTTTTAATTTTGATGTCAACATCGATAAATCAACTAACACTAGACCTAGAATTAGAACCTAGTAACACTAGCACTCCAACTAGCACTAGACACAACTTATGTAACACAGAACTTATCATGCATCATTTTGAAGCAGATACTTTAAACTTTAATTTGCATTAGTAGATGATTCTTTTAAGATAACACAAGACAATTAATCTTCATTTAGACGAAAATTAAAATTTTACATTTAAATGTTATTTTTGACATTTCGCTTACCCCATCTAGCGTCAATTTTTTAATTTATTTCTTATTTTTCTTCTAAAAAACATTGATTCAATAAATTATATAGTTTGAAAATAAAAGCGAAGAAATTTAATCTTTGGTTAGGTGAAAATTTCAAATTTTTACATTTAATTTTATTTAAATCTTAAAAAACCGTTTTCTACACTCGCGCCATCTAGCGCTAATTACCTACGTTAAATCATATTTGACATTTTAAAACCGTCGATTTACTTCTTGCTAATATTATCGAGTTTTATTAAAAAAATAAGTTCAAATGAAGCGAAAAGAAACATGAAAATACGTTTTTGGACTCCCAAAGTATGTGTTTAAAGTGAGTGTAGATTCCAGTACGCGATTTTTCTAAATTAAGAAAAGTACTTTGAAAGAAAAGATAACCTAACTTTCTTAATTGTAAATTATTGGCGATTTAAAAAAATCGATTTAAACGAAAAAAATGGTAAGTAATTAATTTAAAATCATTAATTAGTAATTTATAATTTTTAATTAAAAATTTTAAATAAGCAAACTTAAATAAAAAAGATCCCTTTTTACACTCGCGCCATCTAACGTTATTCAGCTACGTTAAGTGATATTTGACATTTTAAAACCACCGATTCACTTCTTCCCAATATTATCGAGTTTTATTAAAAAAATAAGTTTAAATGAACCGAAAAAACCATCAAAATACGTTTTTAGACTACCAAAATGTTAATTTAAAGTGCGTATAGATTCCAGTAAGTTATTTTTTTCCCTTTAAATTACTTAATAAGTTTGATCGAAAACATAACCTATCTTTTTTAAGGGAATTGAAAATTGTTGGAGATTTAAGAAAATCGATTTGATTTATTAAATGAAGAAAATGGTAAGCAATTAATTTAAAATCATTAATTAACCCCATAATTTATAACTTTTATTTAAAAATTTTAAATAAGCAAAGTTCAGTAAAAAAGATTCCTTTTTACACTCGCGCCATCTAGTGTTAATCACCCACGTTAAATTATATTTGACAGTTCAAACCACCGATTCACTTCTTCCCAATATTATCGAGTTTTATTAAAAAAATAAGTTTAAATGAAGCGAAAAAGCCATCAAAATACTGAATACTTTTTCAAATTTGTTGACATGATGAAAAGAGCAGTAGCCATGAGTAACTATGCTAAGCAATTATTACAATTTCCTAAGTGTCAAAAACTGATTTAGTAAGTAGTTGACCAGCACTGTTGCTATGTAAAACTAACAATGGGCGCGGTCAGCGGACACAGCCGATGTAAAAAAGCAGCTTTTGTGATGAGTATGATGATAAGCAGCATGTTTCTGGTCGCTGTACGGTATTTCTACACATCATGTTTTTGACATATTATGCTTTAAATGTCTAAACTGTCTTGGTTGACAGTATTAGATTAGTTAAGTCCCGTATTATAGGTGTGTACTAAAAATGGTCTATACAAATCGTAATAAACGTTTGGTAGTGGATTATTATATATATTTATTTATATTTATCATTTATATTTATTTATATTTATTATAGATTATTCGTTAGGTTGTAATATATTTTTATGGAATTAAAAGTAGAACCACAGAGTAAGGCAGAGAGTTAGCTCACCGGGAAAATGATAGGCCATTCTCTATCTCTTATTATCACATCATAATACCGATATTTTCTCTTTGTCATCTTGATAGAAATCCTTAGTAGATGGCGTACATGTCGTTAGTAATATTACAGAAAGCTGTTGACTTTGTTTAAGCGGTTTTGACATTTTATGTATGTCACATGTCACACAGTCCTTTTGCGTTTATTGTCTTATTTGTGCTTATTATCTATTTTTGCGTTGTATTTTTTACGAATAATTTTCGAGAATAATTATTGTAAAAATGTTTTGCATTGTGTGTGGATGTAGCGAAGATGAAGTTGGAAAATTATTTTGTTTTCCCGAGAATAAGAACAGGTTAGTATTTTAATTATATTAATTTTTAATTTCAATAGTATTCAAATTTTTGATAACACCGTGTCACTTAGGGTAAGAAGCAGTTGGTGTTTGATAACCAACATTTATTTGTTATAATGCTTTTTTGTTATATGTACTTTATCAATTGAAAACCACAGACAAGAACGGCCAACCCAACCCAACCTGTGAGGGTCATCCCGGAGAAGACGAGGACAGGGGTTTTTAATGGGTCGGAGATCCAACGATGGATTCCAACCCCACACTATCCGGCCGCCCAAGGTCCCAGGCTGGATGTCTGTCTTACAGATTTTCCCCGACCTTATATTGTAATTTAAATATAAAATTTTAAATTGCCAATGGATTTCTCTTTATTTTGCATTGAAATTATAAAATTATAACTGTTTGATTTGAGGTGCTTTTTATTGGTCTATTAAGCTGTAATTATTTTGGCTTACGCAAGCTAAATATAGCTTAATAGATCCACAAAAAGCACATTAGATCAAAAATATTTCTGTATTCAAATTTTAAATTAACTAAACGATTTGAATTTGGCGCCAATTGCATTTTTGCTTCTCACTGCCATCTACATAAGTGTTACATGATGAGTGAGAGAGACCGGTATATATTGGATCTCGCTTTCACAATGGAGTTGGCCGTCTGGTAGTAGTCTGTGAGTAGAACTAACCCTTTTAGTTTTAAAAAAACTTTTAGTTTAGAAACATTTAGTTTTAGTTCGATATGTATACAATAATCCTGACCAAAATCGATTATTTCCATTTTTTTAATTTGTTTCAAGTTTATAGATAACATCCCATTTAATTATTTTAACTTATTTCCTCCTTATCAAGTATCATCGATATGTTTCTTATCGATTAGAACAATTTCGACACACACCAACAATCTTTATCTACATTTTGGCAACTTTGAAACAGTTTCAAAACCCCACAAAATCCTTTTTTTCAATTTAATCATCCTTTTTATGTGTCGCAGAGATATTTAGAACTATTTTGAACCAAAATCATTAATAAATCTGATTTTTTTTAATACATCCAAGTTTATGGACAACTTTCCATTTAATTATTTTTACTTATTTTCTCTTTGTCAATTATCCTCGAGATATTTCTTATTAAATAGAACCATTTTAACACATACCAAAGAGGTTTTTCTATTTCCTATTTAGCTTTCTATTTCTATAAACTAGAAAGTTTCGGAGTTATAGTTGGGAAAAGAAAAGACAATTTTTACACTCAATATCAATTTTATTTTTACATAAGGTAGTTAAAGATTAACGATGAACACATAGTTTTTGACGGTACACCTAGATAACTTACTTTATTTATTTATTTCTTTTTTTTTTTAATAAATTGCCAATTCGTCGACGTTTTTCTTTCATTTTTTATTAATTTAATTTTATTTAATTTCTTTTCGAACGCTTTGTCTAATAATAATTATAATTTTAACAACAAAACGAAACATAACAAAAAAACTATTTCCCTATACATTTAGTGTGAGGGGTACAATAATGTTGAATGATTTCTTTTTTTTTTGATAGATCTATACAAAGGTCAACAGTTTTTCTTAAAGATTATTAACGTTTACGGATTTTTTTCACATTATTTTC